TCCACAGAACACAATTTTATTTTATTTATTTATTTTTTTAAATATATTTTATTTGATTTTGTACAGAGAGGAAGAGAGAGAGATAGAGAGTTAGAAACATCGATGAGAGAGAGTCATCGACCAGCTGCCTCTTGCACACCCCCTACTGGGGATATGCCCGCAACCAAGGTACATGCCCTTGACCGGAATCGAACCCGGGCCCTCCAGTCCCCAAGCCGACGCTCTATCCATTGAGCCAAACCGGTTTCGGCCACAGAACACAATTTTAATAGGTATATCTAGGGTTTAGAATAAATTAAATTTTAAATGGGAAGTCCATCTTAATTTGTATAAGAACCATTATCATGTGTGGTAATAATGCCCGGCATGTAATGTCCACTCAACATGTAGTTTTTCAATTAACACAGAAACCACAGAATGCCTCATCTCCATGTGCTTTTTTATTCCACTGCCCAGGATCCAGCAACATTCAACAGGATGCACCTCAGCCTCAGTTATTTATAGAGGTCCCAGGCTACAATCAGGAAGCAGGAGAAAATACATTCACCTCTGAATATTTCTCCTGTGTCACTTCATCATCCTATCTTCCCCATCATGAAAAGTATGGTAAGGAATATACAAAGGCAGGATCTGAGCTTGGTCAAGAGATTCAGCTCAGCTTCTCACCCCACTCTCTATTGATTTCACTTTCCCATCAGAAACAGGAAAGGGATTCAGGGCAGACAGACTAGTACTAAGGATTCTGCAGAGGGACAAGTAGGGAGTATGCCTTCAAGTACAGGGCAAGATCGCTCAGAACACATTTCCAACATAACAGCACAGGGACAGCTGTGGCTGAGGTAGTGGACAGTGCTGATATGTGTTGGCAAAGTTTACTCAGAACCTGCCCCTCAGGTGAACACACACTGTTATCCTCTTCACACACTCACACATCTGTGCTCCTTCATACCAGGTAACTCCCCATTTCTCCTTTTAACTTTTTCTGTCAAATACACAGGCCATCATTCCACATCTGTCTTCCCATTCTCTAGTAGTATTACATAGGTACACTCTTACCTTGATTCCTTCACACTCACCCAATTATACACTAAGTCTATAAATATTTGTAAGCAATCAGACAGATAATTTGTTTTAAATCCCTCCTTCTAGGCCAAACAGTTAAAAACTCATATACCTTAAAGGAAATGAATGTTGATCTATTATCTTTCTAATCCATAAGCCACTTTAGCCACCATGTCTTTCATCATTCCCTTTTACTCATGGGATATATATCCCAGAACACCATACAACTCCACACAAACATACATACAATGCTATACCCTCAAAATATTACCACATAAATTGCTCAAAAAAAGAATACCACACACATTGTTATACCATGTAAGCATCACGAGTGAGGCATACCACACACAGAATTCTGAAATATCACACATAAACGTTCTTTCACTCTACATGGTCCCAAATGGCATGGCCATCTTACCTCCCACAGCCCTCCAACACACATTCTAATTTTATAATATTTGAAACTTAATTTCCTAGGATCCCATCAATTAAAACAAAATTTTCCCTATCTTGGGGAATGTAATATGCCTGTGTCACAGTCAGCATGGAAACGGAAGATCATGGAGTGGACAATAGGAGGTTTGTATGGTAATGACAGTTAGTGGTGCATGTAATTTCCATTCTTGTTTCATTGTATGAATGTAAACTCATGGTGAGAACTACCTTTAAGGGAAATTGATAACTCTAATGTAATTGTATGTCCAGGTAGAAAGGAGAGAGTAGTCTCTGTTTCATTTAAAAATAATATTTTTTTGGAAACCCACTCACCCATGACATATATTGACACAATGCATATTTGTGTGCATTTTATATTTTCATGGGAACCATTTTACACTTTCCATGAAGAGAGGACTGTGTATGTTCAATGAACATCCTGCATTGAACTCTTACTGTTTGTTTTATTGACAGATAAATACACAGATAACAAGCATGGTACATATCTTCATTATTTTTTATTTAATTGCTGAGCAAAGTTGAATGTAAGAGAAGATACTTTGCAGAACAGACACAAGGTAGTGACCCTGACTCAAGGCCTGAAAGATGGAAGGCCTCTTCTTCAGACAATGTATCCTCCATCTCTTCTAAAGACAGGCTAACTGGTGCTGGGAAGGAAGCATGAATAGGACACAAAGTTGGTGGAGATGAAGAGAGAACCCAGAGTTGAGCTGAGTGGTTCTGCCCATTAGTCAACACATGGCTGCTCAATGCAAAAACACAAACACTTCTTTATTGTGATCAGCAGAGGAAGTAATGTATTCCAAGGGAAAACTGAACAGGACTAGAGCATGTGCAAGGAGAACAGTGTTCTAGTTGAGGAAATAATAGGAGAGGATTTAAATGGATAACAGTTTTATCAGAGAAAAAAACCAATATAACAAAAGGGTAATATGCAAATCAACCAAATGGCGAAATGACTGGTTGCTATCATGTGAAATGACCATCAGGGGGCAGACGCTCAACAGAGTAGCTTCCCCCTGGTGGTCAGTGAGCTCCCACAGGGGAGCACCACTCAGCCAGAAGCAAGGCTCACTACTGGCGAGCACAGTGGTAGTGATGGGAGCTAAGGATGTACAACTGCCAGCTTAGGCCCACTCCCTGAAGGAAACAGGGCTAAGGGGTCAGTTGGATATCCCCTGACAGCTCCTGGACTGTGAAAGGGCACAGGCCAAGCTAAGGGACCCTCCCTAGTGCATGCATGTCATGCAAGGGGTTTCTATTCTATGTTTCTATGGGTCAGACAAGGGCATGTTATGTTATAGTCAACCTGTGAAGCACTAATAACTTAAAACAGGCCAAAAATGGTTGGATCCTCAAGAACTTAACTTGAGCAAGAGTACAGACATGTGCAATTAAATACTTCATCACATCCATATAACTTCATAGCCAATGTTTACATTCACAGGCACTCCTATCAGACAGACCCATTTGCACTCATTCTCCATATCATTCATTTCTTTATATAATAGTATAGTATTCTATGTGCATATACATTCTCCATGATCTCTTATTGTTTGTACCATACAAGGAGTTATAATTTCTCTGACTCCTAACACACTAGATGAGCATTTGTTTTAAAATTTCATTAAACATAAAGGTACAATATATACTTTGTGTCTGATCACTTTCTCTCATTGTTATATTTGTGTGATTTATTCACATTGCACATGATGCTAGTTTGCTTATTCCATATACCAGTGCATGAATATTATTTCTTAATTGATTATACTTTTCTGAGCTTTTGGGTTCTATGAGTTTGGGATTACTTAATAAACTGACGTCCTGAATATTCTATTACATTTTTTTTTCAACATGGACATGTTTCTGATTATTGAATGCTTAAGAGTTAGTCTGCTAGGCCTGAGTTTTCATATTGAGTTTTCAGTCCCTTTATAACTTAATTTTTCACAATTTACTTTCTAATGCAATTTCATATTACTGTACAGCTTATTTAAACACACTTCTCCTCACTCTCTGCCATCTTTCCAAAGACCAGATATTCTTTCTCTTTTATATCTTGATTTTCATATCCTTATATTCTTTAATCATTTCCTTGCATTTTTCAAATACACTCATTCCACTAATCTCACAGAGAATATTCTCAGTAATAACATACCATACCTAAACTACATGACATATTAAACACACAGAAAAACCCACAATGATAGGAAAAGCAATCTACATACATAAACGTGTTAATTTAACACAGAGACACAAAGTACAGATACTATCCTCATTCACACAAAACTCATTCCATATTCAGATTTGCAGAAAACAAATCAATCTCACATTATTCAATCTCAACCCAGATTTAACCAACAAATTATGAACTTAAACACCAACCCCATTACACTCACTATATCATACTGCTAAAAATGGAAATAATATATTTACAATACACATTAATCAGACATGATGATAATTTTAAACAGTTAAATAATGAGCATTGAGCTTTGGTAACAATGAAAAATGAATGGTGACATAACAATTAAGAGTTAATTTCTTAAAAAGTAAAATTTTATTTTTTTACATTTCTATAACTCAATATAGATATCAATAAAAATAGATACATATGCATGCAGAATGTTTCTTAAACTTGCACCATATATCCCCTATTGGTACAATATTTTATTAGAAAATATAATTGATATGCATGTTGAGTTCCTTCAAGTGTGGTTCTAAGTTTTTGATAATCCATATAGATCACTATAAAAGTTGCATACAAGACACTCACTCCCACTGACATCCACCAAACTCACCATTTAATGTGTTCATGTCCTCAAGGAAACTAATTTTCTTCTTCTGTGTCTCTAACCATATGGCACGTCAGCTGCCAGCACTTGAGACCTTCATGAGCTGAACATTCTGAGAGCTCATACACACCTCCTCTAACATTATCAGCCTCACAATCTCATAGTAATAGCCAGTTCCAAGCTTGCACTGCTCACATGTGCTATCATAACAAACATGCACACTCATTAGCCATCACCTTTTAGCAACATCAAAAAACACTTCCCAGATATATGTACACCTCCAAAAGTACATACATATAATTCTACATCCTTATTCCCACATAGTTATACCATGTAAATACCTCAGATAAAGCTCAGTACACCCAAAATTCTGAAATATCACATACAGATGTACTTTACCTGCTCACGTAGATCATGGCCCTTGTAGCTCCTACAGCAGTCATACACCCATTCTAACTTTTTTAACGTTTGACATTTTCTTTCATAGGAAACAAGGAGACACCTGTACCCAAGGACTTGGTGCAAACAAAGACTTACTTTGCCAGTTCATATACCTCGAATTCTTCAGCTAGTAATAAGGATCCCAGGCTCATGAAAATTTATTATATGCGTGTACAAATGAAAAGGGGTGTGGCTGTCATGTGCCATACAGAGGATGGATGGAAGCCTCCCTCACAAAGGATCAAAATGGAAGAAATGACCTATACTACAGAGGTCCATAGAAATGACCCCCTCTCTCACCCGTCTGGGGAGAACCTCCTCAATGACCCTGAGCCCAGTGTAGACAGTCCGGCCCAAGAGAAAAGGGAGAAGGCTGGCTGTCGTGCAGCACCTTCAACTCTGGTGTTCTATCGCAGGGTCCCGTTGCGGAGGCTGCTGGACAGCGGGTTCAGGTGCCTGGCCTGCTGCCACGTCTTTGCTAGCCTAGAGGCCCTTCAGCAGCATGTGGAGTATGGGGTCCAGGAAGGCTTCAGCTGCCATGTGTTTCATCGAGCCATGGCCCCTCTGAAGTACAAAAAGCTTAAGAGGAAGAAGAAGAAATTAACGAAGGCAACATTAAGTTGCCAGGAGGAAAAATAATTTGACACAGAGACAAACTTCTACATCTAAACAGATTGTTTTCAGCCCCTAAAAGAGAGGAAGTGAAGCAGGTTAGACTCCATGAGGAGGCTTCATTCCCTCAGCAGACACAGTATCCAACCTTTTTTCCATTTCTAGCACCACCATCTCTGCAACCACACCACCAATCTGAGCAGACAGCCGCTTGTAAGTCTAAGCCTGAGGGACCAGAAGGCAGACCACAACAACCTAGATACTGCCTTACCCTCTTTCCTACTCTATGGATTATACCCACACATATAGCATCCATAAACACATGATTGACGCAAAAGAGTGTAGCCACTACAGGATTTAATAGTACAGATCCTAATACCCCTCCCCTGCACTGACTCCCACATTTCCATGAAATTGGTCTCTTTAAACAATTTTACATATTTTTCTAAAACCATTTCTTTAAATGGAGGTATACTTCTATACAACATCTCCCTATAACATATTCATCTGCACAATTATTTGGCCCGAAGACAGATATTATTGAGAGAGAATAAGGTACTGCACAGATGGAACAAAAAGCAACTATAATCCACCCCTTACCTTCTACTGTGGACACAAGGTGCATATTCACTTCTTATACATACATATTGCTGGGGAAGGATGGAGCACAAAATGAGTAGTTTCAAAATCTTCTGATATGTATAATATACAGGTGTCCAAAGTGTCATAGTGAGTATTTAAGCTTAATAACTTTAGAAGGGTAAAAGCCACCAACCTGTGAAAAACAATTTGCATGTTTAATTATTTGCATGCTTTTACACTTATTTCACTTCACTCATTTTCAAAGACCATTTTTTTGTGTGTGTGTCTGGCATCTGCGGAGGCTCATATACAAACAAAAATAAAATGGAAAAATATTAAAAACTCACAAAATTATATAGGAGAAGGGAAATTAAAATAGTTCCACTTTAACATAAAATTTTTCATAGTTTATAGCGTTTATCCTTCTGAATTTATTAGAGCTTAAAACTAAGAGATTATAGTTGCTTTTGGTTTCATCTGACTAGTATTTCTTTTTACTTCTCCCTTTGTAAAGAAACTCTATTTTATGGCCAAATATGAGGGTAAATAATTACTTTTCTACCTGCCTTTCATCAATCGATCTAGGGATAAACATCCTTACTTGACCAATCTGTACTAATGAGTTGGTGAATTAAAACGGAACAGAGATTGGGGGGGAAGGGAGGAGCAGGGTGCGGTGATGTTGGTGGTGAGTTACCCTTTGTCTGCAATTCCAGGGCCACTCTAGACTTGCTTCAATTCCTCTCTTTTGAAAGACCAGGCTGTTTTAACTGTGACTTTAAGTCTAACTAAGCCTTCACATTAATTCTCCAATTAGTTCTTGATCTTTTTCCTCAATATGCCTAAGCCCTTTACTGTTGTTTGTAACCTAATGTTCCTTAAAGGATGCAAACTATAGCTTCAACATCTCATTCTTCCATTTTAATCTGTCAAATTATATAACTGAAAAAGCAACACAGCATATTCCACTAATTTTATATTGAAACACCAAGGGATATACATGTAGTAGTATGTATACTTAATTAAATAAGAAGTACTTTAAGTAGATATAGTGTCCGATATTTTTACCTACCAATATCTCCTCTAAACCATACCAGCAATATGAGCAGATAGCCCATTTTTATACCATCTATCACTTTCCTGAGGGAGAATAAGGCAGATAACACCATCCCAGATATTGCCTTACACACTATTTAACTTTATTATAGCCCCACATATATTGTCCATGAATATATATTTGCTGCAAAAGAGTACAAAAACTATAATTTGGATAATGCAGATTGTAATTTCTATGAAAGTGGTCTTTGTTAATATAATATGGAACATACTTGTAACTTAATATTTATCTGTTCCACTGAGAAATTGTGCTAAATGGGCAAAGTTAATAAAATTTATTATATGTTACCAACTACATTTTGGGCATTTACTATTTATTCTTATTTTCTAGATCATGGCTAATAATTCTAATATGTACATATTTTACCCATTTGTCTAAAAAATATATGTACTAGTATATATCCTTTTAAGATTCAAAATCCTCCCCGTGCTTGTTTTCATTTTCTTCCTCATTCCAGTATACCTACTATTAAGAATACTATAATTTTTTTTAAGTCTAGTACTTTCTACAGTTATCATTAGACCATCAAATTATGTTTATGTAAGAAGGATAGATTTTAATTTTCTACAGCTCAAACACTGAGTTCCCTGTCAAACATTTTCCCATATTACTGCGTTGTGCCTTTGTTTTAAATTATTGGTAATTTTTATATTGTATATTTTTAAATTATTCATAGCATAGAATGTTTTGAAGGTTTTAAAAATGAATGACTTACAAATAATTTCTTATTTTTTATTTTTAAAATTTGAAATTCAAAAACTCATCAAGGCTCAAATGAAGTTATTTTTTAAACATTTTTAATTGATTTCAGAGAAAAAGAAGAGAGATAGAGAGATGGAAACATTAATGATGAGAGAGAATCATGGATCTGCTTCCTACTGTACTCCCTCTACCCCACTAAGGATCTAGTCTGCAAACAGGGCATGTGCTTTGACCAGGAATCAGACTGTAACCTCCTGATACATAGGTCCACATTCAAATACTGAGCCACACCTGCCAGGAAGAAGTGAGGTTTTTTTGTTTGTTTTGTTTCTTTATTGAATTTATTAAATTGACATACTCCTTCCTCCTATCTAATAAAAGACTAATATGCAAATTAACCATCACTCAACTACACCCACCAGCCATGCCCACCAGCCATATCCACTAGCCAATCAAAGTGAGTATGTAAATTAACCCCAACCAACATGACTGCACCAAAGAGAGCAGGAGGGAGGCTTGGGTTTCCCTGGTAATGGAGAAAGCCGAGCTTTCCACACATGCTGGTGGGCCCAGATCTCCATTCAAGGGTACAAAGTTTAAATTATAGAAGATACATAAATTCCAAAAGAAATGGCTGCTGCCACAGAGTGAATAGGAAGCTTGGCTCTGTTCCAAGCTACAAAGTTTAAATTGTAAAAGATAAATAAATTCCAGATACCAGGGCCTCTGCTTGGGTCCCCAGGAGGGCATGGCTGGCCTGCAAACCACCACAGGCCCCTCTCCCAGGCCACCCCACATACCAAGGGTACCCCCACCCTAATCCTGGACACCCTTCAAGGCAAACCAGCTGGCCCCCACCCATGCACCCAGGTCTCTCTCTACACTAATAAATTAGAAAAATGCTAATTGACTGTACCTTCACTATGCCCACAGCCAACCAGTAGTGATATACAAATTAATCCAACAGAGATGGAGGATAATTTGCATATGCAGGAGTGATGAGCTGTGTCTGACACTGCTGCTGGGTCCAGGTCACCATCGGGGTCCTGTAGGCCTGGTGGGCAGCGACTCACACCACTTGCGGAGTCCAGCCTGCCATTGATAATAGTGCAGGCCCGGCAGACAGTGCCTGATACTGCTCTCAAAGTTCAGGCCACCATCGGGGACCCAGTAGGCTTGGGAGGCAGTGCCTCATGCTGCCTGTGGGGTCCAGGTTGCCATTCGGGTGCAGGCAAGCCAAGCAAAAAATGCCAGAAGCTGCCCATGGGGTCCAGACAACCATTGGTAACTGGCAGGCCTGGGGGGCAGCACCTGTCACCACCTGCAGGGTCCAAGCTGCCATCCTGGACTGGGCAGACATGGTGGACAGCACCTGAAGCCACCTGCAGGGTCCAGGTCGCCATCGGGGGTTCAGGCAAGCAGACAGTGCCTGATGCTTCCTGCTGGGTCCAGGCAGCCATTGGTAACTGGGCAGGCCTGGGGGGGAAGGGCCTGACACAGTCCAGGCAGCCACTTGGGTCTGGGCAGGCCAGGCGAGTTGAGCCTAATGCTGCCCACTAGGTCGAAGCCGCCATCGGGGACCCAGGTAGGCAGGGGTGGCCAGGGTCTCTGGAATCACTGTCTGCCGCAGGCCTCCTGTGGACACAGATGGAGCAGGCCGGTGTTGAACATTTTAATGAAAATGGGATGCCTGTGCCCCAGCCCACTGTGCTGGTACCTGGAGAGGAGAAGGCAATGGGCAGTTAGCAGGCACTAGGGCTTTGAAGGTACTGGGAGCAACCTACAGGCATGCTACCAGGAAGAGGTGCTGAAACATGATGATGCAGAGGGCTGGCTGATAAAGGAGTGAAAAGGTGCAAAGGAGGCAGCTCTTGCTGGTGCTGAGTTTGAAAAGCGCATCAGACAGCCTGATGGACTAAATAGCCTTTCTGAAGAAGGTGAATGAAGAGATGATCACCAAGCTGTAGGTGCAGATCCAGTACGCTCAGATCTCTGTGGAGATGGACATGTTCTTCAAGTCCAACCTCTCTGCAGTGCTCAAGGACATTGGCGCCCAGTAAGAGAGGCTGGCTGCCAAGAACATGCAGAATGCAGAAGAATGGTACAAGAGCTGCTCACCATGCTGACCTAGAGCACTGCCAAGAACACCTACAGGGTGCGCACCACCAAGAAGGAAGTGTCTGAAAGCCACTGCCTGCTCAAGGCCAGGACCCTGGAGATCAAAGCATGCCTGGGCAGGAACTAAGCTCTGGAAAAGCAGCTGCAAGAGCTGGAGGATGAGCAGAACTCAATGTTAGTGCTATACAGGACACAATCAACAAGTTAGAAAATGAGTTGAGAACTACAGAGAGTGAAATGGCATGGAATCTAAAAGAATACTAGAACCTCCTCAGTGTGGCTTTGGACATTGACATTGCAGCTTACAGGAAACTCTTAGAAGGTGAGGAGACCCAGCTCAGTTTCACCAGCGTGGGAAGCCTAGCCAGTGGCTACTCCTAGAGTTCCCAGGTCTTTGGTGATCTGCCTACGGTGGTTTACAGACTAGCTCCTGCTTGATGTTTGCTTGTTCATTCCCTTCTTAATACACCAGCAATGTCCAGGAGGAGCAGATCTAGGTGGAGAAGAC